TAATAATGCTGGCCGCCTACAGACACATTATCATCATCATCATCATCATCATCATCCCAGTGAATATGCCGTTTTCCCGGCTCTGGATTATAAACAATTTTGTGATTCATCATGTTCTGTGGTGCAACAAGGAGATGTACAGCTAACCCTTTCAAACTGAACGAAAGAGCAACCACGGTGGGAGAGTTAGTTCCAGAAGTGCTCTGATTCCCAAAATCTGTTATTGTGATATGAGCTCACTTTTGGGCCACCTATAAATGCCATTAAAAAAATAAATAATTTGAAAAAATGCACTGGAAGAGAGCAGAATACTTTCCAGCGAAACCTTCAGTGGTTCACCTAATAACAGTAATAATAAGAACAATAATCATCATCCATTTTATTTACGTATTGTGCAATTAGACTAAATGTCTAAAAATGGAGAGACAAAACAGCAAATGTCATGAATTGACATTTTAAATGCGTGCGCCTCAAAAAATGTTGTGTCCCTATATCTTGTCTTATGTGATAAAAAAATATGTCTGTATTTGTTGCATCTTTAAAACTCCCACTGTGTTAACACTGCAGTTTTTAAAATTTTATTGGCTCAATGTTTCTTACCCTGGTATGAGCCAGTGTAGATAAAAGTAAAAGAACTAGATGGATCCACTAAAATATCGAAAACACTGAAGGTTTTGAAGTAGTCTGCTGGTAATTTGGAAATTCACCACATTTTGAGTCGTTTTGATTCATGATAGTTGATCCGTATTTATAGTCTTCTTGACAAGAATAGCCAATTTTATTAGGACGGCATGGCTCAATGGTAGAATGGTCGTCTCTTGGTGCTTCGATCTCCATTTCGACCATGTTGAAGTGTCCTTGAGCAAGATACTGAACCTCCTGATTCTCCGTCATCAGGGGGCGAATGTGATAACAGTGTAAATGCTTTGAGTACCCGAGGAAGAAAGGCGCTTCCATAAGTGACAGCCCATTTACCAAAAGGCAACCTCCAACATGGTTATGAATGGCTGTCAGGTTTTATTTATTTATTTATTTTTAAATTAGCCTTGAACAAAATTAGAGTGACTTACATCGTATGACAGGAGAGCGTGATGAAAAGGATGAGGGAGTTCTCGGTGCATATCAGCATATGGATCCTTTTTTTTGGCCGGGTAGGGTGCCAATGTTCCTGTGCCTTCTGGGTAACATTTAATTTATCTCTGCTTCCTCCCAATAAAAAGATAAGAAGAACAAGTCCAAATGTGCTCGGCAGAACATAACCAATACATCATATTTACAGGCGTTTGCCATATGGCTTTAAGGCTAACACTCCAGTGTCCGGGCCATGCGAGACCTCCATAATAGTTAGGAGGAACATGGAATAAAAGTCAAGGGTTTGCTGGTCGCTCCCAGAATGAATGCGTCTGCAGACCTTGGCCAAGGGGAGCGCTCGCGGGAAATAATGTTGTGTCGCATTTTCCAATAAAACAAAACAGTAAATTATTTACAACAGGCCTCTGAGTGCGCATCCACCTCATTTGCATTCTTGTCGCCATGGGGATGGATGTGACATTGTGCTGATGAACGAAGGCGTGGGGATTTTAAAAAGAGCTTCTTCTGAAAGGAAGGACAGATGGTTATTTTTATTTTTTATTTTTTTATGAGAGCTGCAGGATAATTAAACCAAATGAATGGGACTGTTTTGAAGAAGGAGCTTGTGTAAATTGTGAAAAGATGATGATGTGAGTTCCTGGAAAAGTTGCCATCTTCATTTCTTTCCAACAGGTATCATCACATTAGGAGGTAAATACAATACTGACGCTAAACTTCAGTATTTCATTAATATAACATGGTTGACGGAATCTCTTTTAGCTGGTTCTCCTTCCTGTAAAGTCATTCGAGTGAGTTAAATTTCTCTATTATGAGTCGAGACCAAAATCCCAAGCCACTGCTAATATTAGCTTACATATGATAGCCTCAAGTTGACTAGCTAGTGTAGTGAGCTGTGAGTGAGATTTTATGTGCCGTTGCTAATGTAATATTACATTAGCTGTAGCTGATTGACTAGCTTGTTCCCTTTGACTGTTTATCAGTGCCACTGCTAATTTATGCCGCTTCCACCATGTCAAGTTTGACAGATTAACACGCGTTTCGCTGTGACTGATTTTCAGTGCCATTGCTAACGTTAACCATTCATTAGTGTGTATTAATTTACAAATATCACCAAACCTTTTGCTAATTAAGATTGGGCAATTATGTTTTTGTCCGGTGGTTAAGTAAAAACATCCCATATTATTGCTTTCTATATTTTAGTGTCCAAACTGAGATTTTTTTAAAAAGTGCAAAGGAAAAAAAACCCCAAAAAACAATAACCTCAGACATACAGAAACAGTCACAAGACTACAAATGTGTTCTGTCACAATCAAGGTCAACATGGGCCTTGAAAATAAATTGCCCCGGTAAGCTTTCCCAGCAGATGGCGGCCATCTTGGCTTATCTGTGTGCGGTGTTGTTTTTCCAGTCATGTTGCGCTGCACACAGCCTCACTGACTGAATACAGGTGGAACGGCCGAATTACAGTCTGAGCGTTGGACATTAACCCGCTCTATCTGGGCTGAAATTGTCATTACTGATGACACCCAATGTAATTGTGAATTTTACGCTCCGGCAGACACATTTTCCACACGTCTTCTCCTCATTCAACTCTTCTTTTTGTGTAGAGCAGGCCAGGCTTAAGTTATTCAGCCCTCTTTTCTATCTTTGGTCAGAGCCGGCAAAGAAAACACATTTTCGAGAACACTTTCATGCTCTTTGATCCACTTTCCGACAGGAGTGCACTGTTGCATGCACAAACAAAAAGTACAGTTAAATAATCAAATCAAAAGTTTACACTCAGTACATGTAGACTAGAATTACCGAGCATGGTCGCAATTCAAATTCAGAGAAAAGCGACTTTTTTCTTCTTGTCTCCGTTTCCGAATCTTAACTCCTTTATGTAGACTGACCACAGTGACACACTGAGGTTGTGGGGTGGGGGTGGGGGTTCCATTCCTCCATTGTTCTTGTCAGGATTGGAGGGAGCTGTAGCCTTCCTTAGATTACATTCTCAATTTGTGTAAAGAGAAAGTTGAAATCTATTACTGCTTCCATTTTAAATTGATTAGAGCTTGAGATGGCAAACCATTATTACAGAATCGCTTATTTGGTTTTAAAACCTCACTTGTTTGATTAAAAAAAAAAAAGTACAGGATGAAGTGCAATTTTGTCGCGAAGAGTAGTTTTACAAATGTTAATGCGGTGACAAAATATTTCATAGCCGAATAAATGTCAAACAGACAACATGCTGGGTGGGTAATTAGCGCATCAGAGTCGTGGTTAGCTTGTCAGTTCTCTGCCTCAAAGTCAAGCAGTTCTGCGTTCTCATTTTGGCTCAGGACTTGCTGTGTGGAGTTTCCATATTCTCCCCGTGGGAGCGAGGATTTTCAGCAGGTGCTCCAGCTTTCTCCCACGTTACAAAAAACACACCCGTTAGCTTCATAAGCAACGATTTTTACACAGGTGTCACTTTTGTGTGGTTGTTTGTTTATGTGCTCTGTGATTGACACCAGTCCAGAGTGTGCGCTGTCTCTCCATCGCATAAAACGCTAATTCAATTCAAACCTTTATCTCTTCAAACAACAATCACATTTTTTTTTGTTGTAGAATATTTTAAAAAGATGTAGCAGAAAAACTGAAAGCGTCACACTCCAAGGAATTTCCAGCAGAAAAAAAATGAACAAAAACAACCCAATACTTGAACGTGTTGAGTGGCTATCAGAAGAGCAGTTTAAATCAAGAAGATAATGAAATGCTCGTGTATAGTGACAAGTTGCCTTCAATATTCAAAATAAATGAGCCAGTGCATGCCTTGTTGTATGGCTAACGGTACCCACTCCACCTTCTGAAACAATTATTAGACATTGCTGGTCCAACTTAAAATAGCACAATCTGTACGCAAATTGCAACGCTAACCTAAGCTAAGTTAGCGTTAGCTTAGCGTTAGCTTAGCTAACCTAAGCTAACCAAGTTGTTTTTTTATGAATAGCACTTTTGGCCATAAATGTAAACCAACCAAACAAAACACATTAATTAAGATCCAAATAGGAAGTTGTCACCCACTGATCCCCCGTGCTGTATTTGTACCTAAAACTCCTTGCTCGCATCACTCGAGGCCCCTAATCAAACTTGAGTGTGTGACGCTCTGAAATATGATTGATATGGATTTTGTCATTGTGGTGTCACTCATAATTGTACGACATCTAATTATTTCACGTAATCTTGTATCTGATTCCCAACGGATTGTCCTGTCGGCTCTCAGCGTACGACACCATGACATTAAACTCATCATTATCACATTGCACTGTGAAAGGTTAGTGCGCTCTGCCAATTTTAAAGAAGAACGTGCGTATCGCTCCAGAGTAGGTGGTGGTGGTGGTGGCGGGGGGGTTGGTCACGGGAGTGTGGTGCATGGAGGTATGGAAAAAAAAGGAATAAAAGTGGCCTCGGAATTTTTTTTTTTTTTTTTTTACAAGGCCAAACGCTGCACCTGTTGTCACGTGCTGCAAGCAGAGCGGCTCTTTAATAAAATTCAGCAACATCAATAAAACTCCTTCGTAAACTTAGAGGAAAAGTTGAATGTTATGCATTATCGTACGGTTCAACATAATGGCAACGGTTTATGATCATCCATTTTTTTGTTTACCTTCTAATGACAATTGAACTTTTACTTAGTTTTGTCTGCACATTCATTACGGGTTTTTATGATGACTCCGGAACAGATTATTTGTATTGCCATTTTATAAGATGGCAGCCCTTGTTGTCAAGGTTACAAGGACACGTGAATTGCTGTATCCAAGTGGTGATGGGAAGGTTGCGGATAAAAGATGAATGAGATGAGGAAAAACGATATCAATGTATCTTGGGGAAAGGAGAGATGATAAGAAGAACAACAAAAATAATCTCTTATGTTGTTGAACCCGTAGGAGTAAAGGTCGTGATCTGGACTTGGCATTGGTCGCATGCTCATCTGCATTCGGACTGAGGGTCAGCGGCGCTCACCGGGGAAGGGAGCTGCGTGATCAAGGATAAGGTGAGTGAACTGCCCTTGACCGAGACGCCATGTGTCCACACAAAAGAGTTAACTGGGTGGTCGTACCACAGCGTAGGGGTGTTTACTTGGGCAGATAAAAGAAAAAGAAGCATACATGTTCGATTAAGAGAGCAAATTCAATTTAGATACGGGAGCAGGGTCCGTCAGCTGCTTTTAAGATAGAAAACGAGGTTAAAAAGAGAGGCTTTTTAGATTATGTTGTTTGTCTGTGGATATACCACTTCATACCAGTGTACTTAACGGTGGCCGTGTGATAGAGGGGCCGGGGTGAGCAGTGGCTCATTTGCCTCAAAACATGCCAATATCAGCAAGGCTAAAAAATCAGCCTGGGAAGTGTGCTTCCCAGAACTGCAAGTTCTTTCAAAATATATAACTCTTGCGGTATTTTGATGAAAGCATGCCACAGACGTGTTATTAAGAGACCTGTGAAATGTTTTGAATTGTGACCACCCCCAAAAGTACAGTCTATAATATTTTTCAGTATTTTCTTATTTACATTACAAGGAGGGCTGAAATAATCGACTATAACTAGCAAATAGCTTAAATTGTGAATAATAATAGCGCTCCAATCAATTGAATGCTGTGAAATGCCAGCCATTTTTCTTCATCAATCATCAGATTTTGTCTTCTCATTCACCACCAAAATGGCGACTCAGATGTGATTGATTTGAAGGCTTCCAGCCTAAATTTAAGCCTTCCATGCTTTGTTTTCGCTCGGTGAAAAGCATGCTCTTTTCCAGCAGTCGCCAACCCACCGTAGTCCATGGGGCATTGGGACTCGACTGTCCAGAGAAAATGAAAAAAAATAAAATAAATAAATAACAAATGAATCATCAGCGTGATCATCAGTCAGTTAATCAAACAAAACATAGCTTTTATTTGGTTGCTGGGTTCAGCAAAGTATTTTTATATGTTCAACATCATTTTACACTTGCATTGCTTCCCAAAATTTTCAATGGTTAAACCATCAGAGCTCCGTAAACCACAAAAGCCTCTGAATACGAAAACAACTGTTGCACACAGTGTGCACAATCTGTTAGAGTGAGCGAACATATGGTTTGCCATTTGGGTTCTTATAAATCAGACAACAAGGTTCAACTGCAAACTTTGGGTAACATTGATGCGCAGGATAACCAGCTATTAATAAACTAAATAAAATAAGGTTGACTTGCATCAAAGTGATGAAGATGGCAAAGTATGGAGAAGGAAAGCAACAGCGCAACTAATGCTACCGTTTCACCTTTATGGAGATGATCACTATTTCGCACATAATGGTCATAACTCTGCTCTAAACTTTCCCCAAACTGCTGCGTTGTGCAATTTGCATCTTTTTACAGCTTTTGAAGATGCATCTTTTCGCTTTTAATCACCAGCATGGTACTGATTGGACAGAGGTGATCGACTGAGGTGATTAACAAGAGGAGAAGAGCTGAAATGGCAACGGCTAATGAGGCTCTCTGGGACTAAAAGGTTCAGTGCTTGTGACTTCACGGAACAACAGAGAACAACAGGGAGACATGAACAGTCAGGAGCATTTTTTTTAATATATATGGAATAAAAAAAAACATTTAGGTAGGCCAGGAAGAGTACAATGCAGTACTCTTTCCTCCTGTCTGTGTCGATTCCCCCCAAAATGGCCCCATTTGAAATAAAACCAACCTAAAGTCATGTCAATTCCTGGATTAGCTTCTCAAGTGTTTTGCTTTTTGGGGTGCTCTGGAGCACCGATACTGGACAGCGAAACGGGTGTGGTTGTTCCGTACAATATGAGCGATTCAGTTGAATAAATAAACCTGATGTAGATACACTACTTTTACAGATGCTATAGCAACATGCAATTACTGAAACAGTGAAGTGGACTTCCCAGCTATTCGTGATCACAAATTCACTTATTTGTGTGTTTGTTGTTTCGTCTCTTTCTAGAAGACTCTTAAAATGCCACAAGATGGCACCAAGGCCCTGGCTAATAGTGCTTCAGAAATTTGTGGTGTACATTTTAGTGTTGGTGTCAATCGCTTGCGGTTTCTAGCTAATTGCAAGATTTTAGTACAAACCACGCACAAAACTTGAGATGAGTTCTTTAGCTGCCTGCCGACAGAGAGCCGTCAGAGCAGCCCGCTCTTTTGTGGGTAACTTTGCTTTAGACTTGTATAACAGTTTAAATGTCCCCATGTGATTGAAACCACGCCTGTAAAGTTAATTAATAGAATTTTATGGTGGCTGCATGTTGAGCCTGGAAATTTGTAATTCACGGCCGATGATTTCAAGAACATTTGATTTGAAATGAGAACAACTTGCGGAAAGGTAGGCTGCGAAACAAATAGTGTTGAACAACTGGAGTTTCTGCTGTAGATGTAGTTTGTGTAAACACAAACTTCCGAAGTGTGACAGGTGGAGACATGGATTAAGCTCTTGTGAAGATATTTGAGTTTTGTTTTGGGTATTCGTGATCACAAATTCACTTATTTGTGTGTTTGTTGTTTCGTCTCTTTCTAGAAGACTCTTAAAATGCCACAAGATGGCACCAAGGCCCTGGCTAATAGTGCTTCAGAAATTTGTGGTGTACATTTTAGTGTTGGTGTCAATCGCTTGCGGTTTCTAGCTAATTGCAAGATTTTAGTACAAACCACGCACAAAACTTGAGATGAGTTCTTTAGCTGCCTGCCGACAGAGAGCCGTCAGAGCAGCCCGCTCTTTTGTGGGTAACTTTGCTTTAGACTTGTATAACAGTTTAAATGTCCCCATGTGATTGAAACCACGCCTGTAAAGTTAATTAATAGAATTTTATGGTGGCTGCATGTTGAGCCTGGAAATTTGTAATTCACGGCCGATGATTTCAAGAACATTTGATTTGAAATGAGAACAACTTGCGGAAAGGTAGGCTGCGAAACAAATTGTGTTGAACAACTGGAGTTTCCGCTGTAGATGTAGTTTGTGTAAACACAAACTTCAAAAGCGTGACAGGTGGAGACATGGATTAAGCTATCGTGAAGATATTTGAGTTTTTTTTTTTTTTTTTCGTTTTTCCAGATTTCCTTTTTTCCCTCTATCATCTCCATTTACTCCCCATGGACAGGCAGGAGGAGGGGCCGGGGTCCACTTGAGGGAGACTGAGGCACTTTTTTGTGACCGAAGGGGCATACATTTGAATAGTTACAGCAAACAAGTATGCGAGATGTTATGGTTTGGTTTTTTTTCCACACGACAATCCATATTTCTTGATGAACACCCAGAGTCATCAAAAGCATAGTAATTGTTCTCCACATAGGTGCTGCTAACAAATTTATACACTGAATTCCCAGTGAGTGTGTTGGGTAAGGCTGGAGACCGAAGCCTTTGTCATAAATAGTCTCTGTTCGATAACTCAATAAAGTATTTGAGACAGCAGCTGCTGAGGGAGGAACTGCAGAGTGAGATGTGGAGAAGTCACACTTTATTGTATTTACGTCAGCAGGAGGACAGATGGGGAGGAAGAGGAAAGTTAGATGACGGCAGGTGAGATATGACTTCATGCAAAAGTCTATTTTTTCTGGATGTAAATAGTGCTTTATATAGTATGCATCATACAGATGCAATTAATAATCTCCCTTATTTTTTACCCCAGACCATTGCGGCTATTCCTTAAGCCCACATCTGCTTAATAACGTCCCACGTTTCAGTTTCCGTTCCAATTCAGCAACACTGTTAATGATGGGAGTCGAGGCTTTGTTTGTCATTGTCCAATTATGGTCTGGTTGTTCCTCATAAATATGTGCTCCATTGATCTGCAACAAACTATTACAGTTCCCGTTGACATACTTATACATCAATCGTGTTTTCTTTTAAGTACTTCATGCACCGTTAGCCAAATCTACCACACTGATGCATTCTTGGGACTTTTAATATCAAGATGTAATTAAATAACTAATTTAAAAGCTTGAAAAAAAAATTAACACGCACAGATATAGATCCCACACTAGAAAGACATAATTTTTAACAGAAAAAGATTATTCGAAACATTATGAGACTAAAGTTGGAATATAAGAGAAGAAATAATATGGAGAATGGAAACAAATGCAAAATGTACTCGCTAGCACACTCACGCTCACCCGTTACGGTGGGCTTCAGGAGTTTTCCTAAAGGACTATGGCGTAGTATCCACCTATGAAAAATGAAAATTCCCATCTCTTCATTTCCAACAGCTGGGCAAACGGAAGCAGGTCCAAAGGACCTGAGGGAGCAAAGAGACTTCAGAAGTGACGCTATTGCTAGCTTAGAATTGCTTACCTTGCTCTTTTGTCCAAGCCGGATACGCGTTCCCTGTGACTATTTTCACAATGATGCACTTTCATAATCGCAGTCCATTATGGATGACGACGTTTGACAATCACCCCAGTGCACGTCAGCAAGGGGTTGGAAGGGATTAGTGAATGAGGCTTCATTCAACTCTTGCTAGCAGCTTCAACACTGCAATCTCCCGCCGGACTTCTTGCTGTTTGATTTCGAGTGTCGTGAGAGCCAAGGTAACTTGTGCACAAGAAAACGTACTTGTACATGCTCAAACAAGTCAATGTCTGTCCGGTGTAATTGTTTCCAGAGAGATTAGCTATACAGCGCAGCATAATGCAGTATATAGCTAAGTTTAATAGCCCACCTTACATATGAGTACGCTAATCTCTCACCGGAGACACAGAATGAGACATATCAGGTATTAATGTACTGACAGCCAAGCAATTCTGACTCTCTCATCCTCGTGAATATGGATGAGCGAACCCACCGGGGGCCTTTGCGCAGCTGGCTTTATCACTTTAATGCGCATTATGGCAATAATGAGCAAGAAGCTACTTAGATCCCCATAATTCTCCCGAGCCTCATCATAAATAACAGCTTACATGTAGCTTACTTACCGCAGATAAATAGTGGGAAGGGGAGGGGCGAGGGCACTCGGAGCACCTGTGTTAACGCCGGCTTACAGGCAGCTTCTTTGGAATCCAAATTTG